CAGGACTGACGGATAAGTGGAGAGGATTTGATGTTTTTACTGGTGAACTGAAGTCCCGGATTTCATCATAAGCTCAGTAGTATTTATCTATGCTGAGCCAACTGCAAAAGAAATAGATGGTGAAAGACATTCAAACTGACCTCTACTGCCCTTACGTGCAGGAAAACAAAACGCTTTTCTTTGTTTGTAAGCAGTGGAATCTCTGTACTACACAGTGGTAGTGATTCAAAATTCAGAACTGTTTTTCTGGTTCATCGATCACTTGATTGTCTGGTTTGTTTAAAGTCAATGTGTGTGGCCGGTGTGCTGCTGTACAGCGTCGGAGTGTAAATGTTTGCATTAACGGCGAATTGTGTGTATCGCTGGTGCTAGTGGTATGACAAGATATGTTTACATTTTCCGCGAACAACTGGTGTTATTACTAATCTTCAGTGGACCATTGAAGGACTTTTCAAGGAAATTTGCCCTTCACATAAAATGAAATATGTTTGCAAGACTAGGCATTCTTGAACACTGATGTTTCATTTTTCTGTGGGTGAGCAAATGAATAATTGATGCCATATGTCATGTGGAAAGATCAGTACATTGTAACCTCGCAAGGGGTGTATATAGAAAATAAATATGCTTCATGAGGTGAGGTGAATTATCGTCATGTTAAACAACTGTCTGCAGTTATGCCTCGGACTAATTAAACAGATTATTTGTTCGAGGTTTTTCATCTGTCCCACTGAAATACCATGCATCAGTTTAACTAGGATACCACATTCAATCGACCATTCCATATTTCATCTCTTCAATGCCGAGCGCCGGTCAGGGCATCGACAGGTACCATCCTTTATCGTCTTTGGGGTGACGCGACCAGGGGCTTGCATCATCAACGTCTCCAGGCAGACGCTCTACTCAATAGACCACAACGACAATCTTCCCGCAGAGACGTGCAGGATGTACAAGTAAAACGACTGTCTGAAAAAAAGCAGCATTCTGCTTTATTCTGAAACGTCCCCGGATTCAATAATATAAGCATCAGGTTTGACTGGCTATTGAAGTAAAGGTTAGAGGTTTTGATTGTTCACTGGAGAAGAAATCGTGCAGGGAAAGGGTGCTTTGCATAAACAGTTGTCTATTAGCAATACTTGTTTCGCGGTGTGGAGAGTATTCAGGGAAAGCGGATGCGTCATTGGTGGTTAGTGTCGAACGCGGTTTAATGCGTCTATTCTTGGTACTGTGCATGTAAGCTCGGTACAGTGGGGTGATGCCCAGTACTATTTTATCACTGCAATGTAAAGTCTTAAATAGATATTGACGTTTCTGGCATGAAAAGGCATTCAACAGATAAATACACGTTTTCGTTTGTCAGACAGCTTTAGTGAGAAATTCGTACAGTATTTAATGTTATCATTAAGTGTTGTTGGCGACAGATGTGGTCGCATTGTGTACAGGAAGGCACCCTCATTCTGTGTTGGTAATGCCCTGATGCACGTACCAGTAAGGCTTTGGGTTAGTGAGAGATTTTACGTCGCCTTTTGCAATAACTGGGCGGGGACACACCATAAAGGTTTTTGTGTGAGGTAGTTTGGTTTTACGTCGCTTTTAGCAATATTCCAGCAATATCACGGCGGTGGACACCAGAAAGGGGCTTCACATTGTACCCATGTGGGGAATCGAACCCGGGTCTGAGGCTACCCAACCTCCCCACCATAAAAGGGCCTACGCTCAATCTACTTGACCACATTGTATCCATGGCAGAATCGAACCCAGACCTTTGAACGCTATAACTACAAGGCTATAGCACCCACCAGTATGTCAATGAGATGTGTTATAGCCGCAGGTGAGGTGAGGTGGAAGGGGGCTTAACGTACGTCGTACTTAAGAATATTTCGCACATATAATGACGTGCATGCGTGTGTATGTGTGGCTACTTGTACTGGCCCAGACTTTAGCTGGTTTTATAGTGCAAGCTCACTGAAATACGATGCCACAGTTAAGCATGAATACCCCACACAGACACAGATCGAACCCGCGACCTTCCGCTCTCCTGGCGGACGCTCTAACCACAACACCACGGTGGCGGTCTATAGACACAGAAGATATTAAATACTCAGCTTTCAGATTAATCTTTCAGTAAATAACTGAAAAGACTGGTAAAAACGCCCAGATAATTCATACGTAGTTTTCTATTGACCTTTTGGACACTTGAAAAAAGTCACCACTCACATTGACTTACAAAAGTATGATCCTGTATATATTTTGTGTACATACATCGATTTTTGTTTCGCAGTTCAGAAACTGATACGTCTTATTGTATATTTTCATATAAAACATCCAGTGTTGAAAATGGGATTCTTTATTAATTTCCTAAAATGTTAAACAGCAACACAAATATCGGAGGATCTGAAACTATTACGCTTGACGTTATTTGATAGGCGTAAAACGAATTGTTATTAATTTCTGTAAATCACATCCAATGACAGTATCTGCAACATACTGGAGGAAGACACACCAGTTATTCAGTAGGTGTCAATGGCGTCATTAATATATACCCGTGAAGATCCGGGTTAGAATTGATCTTCTGTAACACATGCTTGCCGTAAGAGGCGACTAACGGGATCGGGTGGTCAGGCTCGCTGACTTGGTTGACACATGTCATCGCACCCCAATTGCATGGATCGATGCTCATGCTGTTGATCACTGGATTGTCTGGTCCAGACTCGATTATTTACAGACCGCCGCCATATAGCTGGAATATTGCTGAGTGCTGCGTAAAACTAAACTCACCCACTCACCCTTAAGAGCATAACCCTGTCTTATCAGGCTGCTCCAAAGAGTTATGCCCCTTAGTCCTGGCAGAATCATAACTCGCGCTGGTAATACGTCAATGTTTTTGAGGTCGGTTGATATTCTCGTGCATTTCCACAAGGTTGTATATTTGTTTCTTAGACCTTTAGATTCACCAAAGTAAGGGTAGACGCCCTCCCTAACTGTTAAATCTCTGTATCTTAAGTTCTGTTCACCTTCTAACGGCGTTTCGTCAATACCCACGTCAGCATGCACGTTCTTAATTATCGATCGCCCGTGGCATTCAGTCCAACACTCCAACTGAAGCATGTACGTTATAAAGACGACCAGACTCCCGGATGTAAATTGGACTTGTTGAGTCCGCAATGTAAGTTAACGTCTACTAAAGATCAACAGTGTTCATTATATCTGACAACCATATTGACGTTGTACTTACCATGTCAGAGTAAGGATGTTCGAAACGTCAGCAGCCAGCTCTATTGGCATGTCGAGTGTATTTCATATGCAACAAAGAAGAATATATGCAGTCTGTTCGATGTATTTATAAATATGCGTTACGTAAAGCGTGTTCGTCGGATTGGGCGTCTATAATTCCATAATGGCATACTTTCGACACTTCTTTAAACAAAATGCGAAATATTAATGAATTCATGAACAGCTTTGTATGTGTAACATACAGGAACTGAAGACAACACAATCATATGACATAGTTCAGAGCAACAATTTAACGCAAGCCCACCGATTCCTGTGTGACCGTTAGTGGAAGTGACGGACAGACAATGATTTTATTAGTCTCACTTGTGTACATACAGTTGATTGATACATATATAAAATATAATACACAGAGGCTAAAAGTACACAACCAATCACTTAGTGATTTATGAGAGACTAAAAACTAGTAAATACATAAATATATACAGAAATATGAATATATGAACATATGTAAACGCATATAATGCTGCGAATAAACATAAAGGTAAACAGTATAATTAGGAAAATAAAAGATGGCGTGACCTAAACAGATTAAATGGGTGGCACCTAAACCAGTCAGATGAAGAAAACATACAAATGCCATGGTATCACATGTAATTCTTTTATTTGATGGCATTAGCATAGTCTCACAAATATACAGACAAGACAACGATAAGCCTGAAACAGTCCGCCGATCAAATAAAACATATTTTCTGATGGCCCACTGCATTAACTCGCTATTGTGTGAGTGAGTGAGTTGGGATAAAAAAATAAAATAATTTTTTATCTTATGTGAAAATTGTTTAAATTCATTAGCAACGATGATTATAAATGATTTTGACAATATACGTCAATTCTATTGTCTCTTTTTCAGCAATGTGCGAATAGTGGAAAGGTGCTCGCTGAAATTGGCGAAAGTCCTATGTTTAGTTATCCCCATTAATATGCATCGATATGAGAGTTAATAATAAGACGAATGTAGCGACAACTCCTAAATTCCATGAAACAATTAAACGTCTACATGCCATTACATCCACGATTGCAGACCGCCTCCGTGGTGTAGTGGTTAGAGCGTCCGCCCGGAGAGCGGAAAATCGCGGGTTCGATCCCCGACCGCGTCATACCAAAAGACGTTAAAATATGCTACTTGTTGGTCTCTGCCTGGCGCTCGGCATTAATGGGTACAACAAGGACTGGTCGGCTCGGAGTCAGTATAATGTGTTTTAGTGGGGTATTCATGCTTCACTGCGGCATGGTATCTCAGTGGGCTAGAACTATAAAACCAGCTTCAGTCTGGGCTAGTACAAGCAGCCACACATACACACGCATGCACGTCGTCATATGAGCGAAATATTCTCAAGCACGACGTAAAACCCAATTTCACCTCACCTCACCTCACATCCACGATTGCACTGCAATATCGATGAGAAATCAACCTCAGTTCTTAATTAAGTAAAGATCATTTATTGAGATGTCATTCTGAAGGACAACGAGCAGTTAATGGCGAACAATGTTGGCAACAATTGATCAGGGGAATAACCACAGTCCAATATACACTAATAGATTGCATGTCCGGTAGGTGCCCGTGAACTACAGTGTGAACTATAGAACAAAAATCGCTATACATGTATAACCACATTAAATTTCCCGTGAGGCAAGGAGAAGAACACAAAGTAACGACAGTACCCCAAATTAGGTACTTGTAGATCGCTAGTGAACTTCGATTAACAATTAGTGTTAAGAAGTGAGGGTATGTGTATTGACAATAGAGTAAGCTTGACCTCAATCGAATAATTCAGAGTGGTCTCCCCTTACATAGAAGTCCCAGTCCCAGAACAATGAACGTTACTGAATGCCTCAGTGCCTTCTTTCAAAATATCCTTAATTATCTCGTGGTGTGATTCAGCACAGTGCTAATCAGTACGCCTCGACTGCTCAACGATTTTACAAGGCACAAAATTTGATCGATTTCACTTGAGCATTTGTGTCCCACAAGAGATGCGAAACGAGGCCATGGGAGCAAGCTGGAACACTTCCTTTAAATTGTTGTAGAGATTTTCATCAATACCCTTTCTTGTAGATATTTTCCATTTACGTGGAAATACAATTTTCATCGGTCGACTTCCACGTGTCACTTGAAATGTTTCAGTGTGGTTTGCTTCATCAGAAGAGATGTCCGCACTTCCGTATAAAACCCTTACCACAGACAGATGAAATCTCGCCTAAATCTCGTTTTCAGCTGAAGAAACGAGTCTTTTTTAACGCTTCATTGAAAATTGGCATACAACAAGAGGTTTACTGATTACAGTTTTTCATACGGGACATTGGAGGGTTCGACCCTCGCTCTTTTCTCTTCACAATCTGACGAAAGGAACACGAAAATCAATTAGTTTCTGTTAAGGACCAACTTTGAACAAAAAAGTTGTGGGTGCAAAAACACGAACGTTACGATGTTTCAATTGTTGAATACGTCCTTGAGTAGTCCCTCGAATCCGTTGATTCCGAAAGTAGAATCCGAGAGGGCTCTTCCTTGCCACTTCCAACAGAATCCACAGATTCGTGTGATCTTTCCGTCAATAATATATAGAAGATGGTGTGCGCGTGTGTGTGTGTGTGTACCGTAATAAGATCAGGTAGTATACCTCAAACCGGGTATGACATTATCATCAGGTTTGAATGAGACCTCAAACCAGGTAATACAATCTCGATTGGTATGAGACCTTCAGCAGGTATGACCAGCTCGAATGGTATGAGACCTCCACCAGGTATGACAATTGTGAATGGTATGAGACCTGCACTAGATATGACAATTTATATTGGTGTGAGACCTCCACAAGGCTTGACCGGTAAGATACCTCCACCAGATAGGACAAACTTACCAGGTATGCGACTTCCACCTGGTATGATATTCTGACAAGGTATGCCACTAAAACACTTATGGCATCAGGTATGCTATTTCTGGATCTCTTCTCACTTTACGTTAAGCCTACGTTGCACAGCCCTTCCTGGTGGGATTATTATCAGTTCGAGGACAGGAGAACTTGTTTCCTCAAAACCGACCATTATTGGCCATGCGTTTCACTGACACTCCTTGGGTATTTCGGGTCTTCACATTGAAGGCCCGGGATCAAGTGCCAACTTGAGAAACTTCTAGTGTCACAGCCCGAAATATAGCTGGAATTCCCATAATCTCTCATTCAGTCTACGTACAAAGTGAGCAAATGAGTTTGCTTTACCACGGCATTCCACTAAATCCCTGTTGTATTGCCATATGCCAGCCAAAGTGGTGCAGTATTGAATATTCCCAACAGTAACTCTCTAAGGAGTAGTAAGTTTCAGTTTGTTTTTAGAGATAATGTGAAAATGAATAAGTTTGGCCTGAGTAACTGTGTGACATATTTATGAGGGACGAAACCTCGAAGTAATACAGATCAGAGTCCTTTTTAACTAAGGTGAATCCAGCGAACACGACAAGGTTTCGGGCCCGCATAACAGTACCAACAACGCACATCCGACCTCCGATGTTTGGATAAAAGGTCATTTGTTGCAGAGATAGACAAGAAATCGATCATTTGTCGTTAAAACGCCGCTTGTCCTGTTAAAACAGTGTGTTTGACTGCCCTTCTTTAGTGATAAAAGTAGTGACCCAAAAGATAGCATGTCTTGAGCAAAAGACCCAGTGAACCTTTGTCATAATTTACTGCATAAACAGTGAAGGGCCTAGATTTCCGAAGCTCTCTTAGAGCTAAGATAGTCGTAAGTTAATGTTAATGTATGTCAATTACGACCATCTTAACACAAGGAGAGCTTCTAAAATCCATGTTCAGGGAACTACTGAATACATGCTGGGTTATCCTTAATACGAAACAATATGTCAGGATCAGACTATAATGCTGTGGATAGCTCCGATGCCTTACGTCGACTTACCGGACGTATCGCTATCCTCTATCATTAACTTGGTATTGCTATAAATCATGTATGGGGATTTTTAGGTATAAGTTAACGGGGACCGAGGTTTGAACATCTTGAATTAAATACGCTGCAAGTGTCAATTGAGTCCTGTTCTTGTTTTAAACAATTGTTAGCACTCGTCACGTTTCAAATTTGTTGGCATTGTTTTCGTTGGAGAGTGAGTGAGTGAGTTAATATTTAACGTCACATCGGCAATATCTCAGCCATATCGTGACGAAAACAATTCATACAAATGAAAAATAAAATTATTTTGAAGAGTAAAACCTGTCGACGATGGACAGTAAAATTACGAGAGTATGACAGATACGAATATATAACTAAAACATTTTAATTAAAGAAGACAATACAGTATAAATCACGGGCTATAGCTCATCAATAACTGAAGGTAGATCACCATACTAGGGACCATGGGGACTTACAGTGCTTTTGCTACCTGCATAGACCCTAGTTGGATTTACACCATCCCTCCAGCCGCTGCCGATTGTAGGAAACGTTAGCCGAAATTTGAAAATAGATAACTGTCATCTTATCAATGGTAGTATAAATTAGCTACTGCGAATGTTAGTGGCTGTATCCTCAAAGGGGGTTAAAGTATCATAAAATTATTGTCCCCCCTGAGAGGGTACGTAAGTCCCAAAACTTTCAAAGTAAAATTTAAACTTACCAGATTTTTGTTATTTTAAACATATTTTTCAAAATATATCTAATAATTCTATTTCTTTTAAAAAACAAGTATTAAATGATAATTTACAGTATAAAAAGTATTCTTTATTGTTTTGACACTGCAATGTATCTATCCCTTGTGATGGAAATATCAATACAGTCAAGCATGACATGCTTTCGTTGGATAATCTGGACGATAGAATTATGTTATGTATTTTGGACCCACTGATAATTATTCCGGGGAATGGCTTCCAAGCACTGCTTTAAAACAACCCATATTAAATGAACAACTGGACACTAATTTACCCAAACGTATATGTTTTGTGGGTTTTTTCAGCACATCACAGTGCTGTCATCTATGTATATCTGAGGTGAACCCAAAAACAAATAAATATACTCTGAGGGCTTACTAATTCACCCTCACCTCAATTGCACTACGCAATAGATTCAAATCTGCTCCTGCTATCAAAGGGATTATTAAGTACGTTAACGGAAGACGAATTTTAACAGCTTTACTATCCATGCCTGGAAGCATGGGTTCTATGAAGGGCGTCACTCTAACAGATAACCAGAGGCGGCAAAGATTGGGGTAGGCGCCATTGGTGATATACCGTATTTGCAGCTTAAGTAAGAGGTTTTGCCTTTGAACCACACATCGCTAGCCACGTGATGGTATGCCTGCAACTCTTGACCATGATAGGTATAGGGTCAGTAGTGTGTAGGTGCAGGGCGGCATTAATCATGATTCACAAATGAGATTTGGTTATTTGTTATTGACAAGTCAGTGATATTTTGATGTAATTTGGCGTTCTGTCGTTATTTGATTAGTTGTAATAATCTGCACAAGTTTTGTAATGGAAGATGACAATGTCACACTTCGTGGTGCCCCTGTAGTCGTTGAATGTCTCCGACAACATGGCATATTGACACTGGACAGGCCCGCTAAGCAACCTGAAATGTCCCCCATAGGGCATCTGAGGGATGTTCTCGGGAGGGGAGTGTATCCGGTTTCAAGGCAGAATGGAGGCAGTACGAAAGGTGATCTAAAGTAAGATTTTTCGAAGTAACACCTTCACTATCATTTCATTACCTCTATCCCAATACGTGTGTGCGAGCGTGCGCGTGTGTGGATGTGTGTTCGAAAAACGTGGTTATCTTCTTTACACAAAAAAACCCAAACGGTTTCAATCGCAGGTTGTGTTAAGTGTCTGATAAGTACACTGGCGTCTGTAACGACAAACAACCAGCTGTCCTGCAATAGTATGACTTATAGAAGAACCCAATAACTTGCATCAGGTGAATTGGCTCATAAACGTTATCATGACAATCAAGATGGTCTTGCGTTGTAGGTTTCGTATGTCACACATATCTATAAATTCCAGTCACAAGCACCATCTGAGTCTCTCAAATGACCAGTGAAGCACAACTAACCGTCTTTTTTTAACAGTTTACTCTTGCAAAAGCATGATAAATCCGCTTCTCAAGTCAATATTAACAATTCCAGAGACTCTATTTTAAGAAACAGTTAAAGGGTACGACCCGGCTTTTACTCGGCATCAGTGATGAATCTTCTCCTATGGGAGATGTTAACACACTATAGTGAAGTTCCCCAGCTCTTTCGCCCTGGGACGCCATGCTAAATGATATCATACGCCAAATTGAAGATTTTACGGCCTTTTTTCATTATTTTCTGAAAACGAAAATTGATTTTTTTACAACTGGATAGCACTAGTTAATTGAAAAATGTAAACATTGTCATATTATCTGATGTGGTTGCCTGTTTACTCATCACCTGATGATACCATCGACCTGATAACTAAGATTAATCGCCACATTCGATCGATTGTTACCCTTTTCCCCTCCGATTCAAATGCCAGTGCACATACAAATTGCTGTATCATATTAAAGAGGCAAATGTCAAGCCTTTTGCTATAGTTTAGCAGTTTTTAAATAATTGACTACTTGATATACAACGTATATTAACGATCATATATTGATTTCATCCGTCAATTTTACCCTTTCAGTCGTAGGGCTACTTTCTTTCAAAACCAAATTGAAATATGTAAGAACCAAATCGTTAAAAGGGGCTATTCAATGAACTATTCAATATTTCAAACCTAAAAATACACTATTCAATGCAACTAAGAAGGAAGCAAGGGATTATATTCCCTTGAAAAATGATTCACCTTTATGAAATTAACTCGCCTGTTTGATTATCTCTTCCACTGTTTCGGACCAGTTCCCAGGCGGTGTATAATTAAACAAGATTGAGTTAATACTTTGAAGCAAGGGCATACTTATCTACAGAGGAGCGTCCATCAAGCTGAGTTCTGGAAGACTCAGAGAGAAGCTTCGTTAGTTCCTCGCCCCTGGCCATGACGCTTTGTGTTCTCCAAAGAGTTTGAAAACAATCGTCTGGCGATTACCCATAAAAGCCGACACACACAAAGAAAGAAGCGAGCTGGCCTGGAGGGATACTGTGTGTTATTGGGGAATAAAAGAACTGGTCTTTTTGATCACATGGTCAACAATGGTTCTGGAACGTATATCGCATCTAGTAATATAACTAATTAGTGTTTTCACTGTGTCCTTTCACGTAAATTAAATCAAATCATACGCATGTTTGGCGGAATTTAGAAAAAGAAACTTAGCTAACTCTTTGAGTATTGCGATGTATGCATCAGTTGATTAAAGACAAAAACAGGCCAGCTGAGAGATCTTCATAATGATACTTTTTTTTAAAAAGGTATGATTTAGCTGACGCCGATAGTTGGTTAAGAAAAGAACTAATGCAACGTTTTCATAGCATTGCTGCACGCGAGAAGAAGCATCACGCAACGTTGGTCCAGGCCGTCATCTCTGACGTGTGTCAGAAACCTATGGCCCTGGAATCGATTCGCTATTCGCCATACTTTTGGTCAAACTGTGCATCACTTCGGATAATTATCTACATTGGCAGGGTACGCAATCTTAAGACCAGGGTTGGTTGCATAGAACACAAGATCTTTAGAATTCCATGTATATAATTGTTCCCAGTGCCATTCGCCTGTCGAAAGAGGCTCTTTAAGTGTAAAGGTGGTCAGGCTCTATCTCTTCTGGTTTAGTGTTATCATACTCTCCATGCTGTGGATCGTTGCATTGCTCTTCACGTGCCACACTCATCATATCGCTTGAATATAAAGGTTTGGCGATACCAAAAAAATGAAATCCACCATAGGAACATACTATATAATTATTGACTTCTAGTAAGGTTGATTCATTGATTTATCGACATGTCATATTGTCATATTGTCACATGTCCAGGGTCAATAAACCATTGCATCAACCGAACTGAAGTCAATAACTGTTTTATTATGTGACAAAAGTACTGTTCTTCTGTGACATAGGAGAGACTCAATATAAGCTGGAATAGGCTTACAGCTTTCAGAGGCGGTATTAGTAAATGAAAGCATTTTTTAAAAATTCAACTTGTGTATTATCACAATCTTTTAGATATCTTTCAACAGTCAATAACATTTCAACATCTTTAAAATATCACAGTTCAAATATTTCAAGTCTCAATTTCAGCAGTACGGAGTTCACAGCTGGAATATCCCAAATCTATCTTTAGCCATGGGAGGTGCTTGGATTGTTATATCAACCTCTCGCGACGTGGCGAGATTGACATCGCTTAGCGTCACAGCTGTCATGTGACCAAATGGGCCAATCAGAAGGGCGGAAATCTACCCGTCATGTAATAATGTCGTATAACACCTTTCTCATTACGATCAGATCACTTACTGTGATAGGATACTTCGGTGATGAATAAAAACGAAAAAGTCCGAAAGTGACAACTGCAGCGGCACCACTATATTGTTGCTGACATATATAGTTCCATATATCCGATCGGTTCCGAGCGCCATGGCATCTGCATATGAATGGAGTATGAGTGAGTGAGTGAGTGAGTTAAGATTTTAAGTCACATCGGCAATAAAAACAAATTATAATTTCATAATAAATAATGGTAACTTATAAAACCCTATCAACGAAGGACTGTGAAATAACTAGTTTCAAATTTCAATTTAAAACTAGTAATGAACTCTAAAACAGTTTAACTATATACGACAATAAAATATGAAAACAGGCTATAGATTGCCAATAGCTGAAGGTACATCACTATACTAGGGACCTTGGGGACTTACAATACATTTGCTTTCTGCATGAACCCTAGCTGGATTTACACCATCCCTTCAGCTGTAAGCAGGTTTAGACAATTTAGCCATTAATTAAAATAACATATATTCTACGGTTAATAAATAATGGTATGTTTAAATTTACTTTGAATGTTTTGGGACTTACGTACCCCCACGTATGAATGGAGTGCCATCAACCATTTCTGTCGGTTTTCGTTACATTAATTTTGGTTAAACTCATAAGGCCGAATAGTTTTAAAAGTTGAAAGCTGAACCCTGACGGATTTTGGACGGAAGCAGGGGGTCTCACAATTTACTAAGCGTTCCGTGGACGGATCTTTAAACCGAGGTGTACGTGTATCCTAACGAAGGGAGATGTCATCATGGACTGAAAGTGGATCCACAAAAACGCACATCATAACGTAGAGGTACACTATATGTACATTTATCTTCGACATAACACCACATAAGATAGTTTGATGCAATAACATTGCTGACTCCACGCAATCCCTCTTATTCAAATACGCCATGAGATGGATAGCCGGGTGGTTACAGCACTCAGTCACTCAATCAGTCATTGCTCCTTGCTTCGTGTCCAGCCGAAACCACCAA